GAGGAAGGTTAGGGTCTATGAACACTTCAGACGTCTGGTTGGGGGGGGGTAGGTTGAGGGCAAGAGCAAAAACCTGAGATGGATTTTCACAGCCTAGCTCCTACACTGCAGCTGGTGTGGACTTCAAGAAGTAGGGCAAGGAACAAGCTTGAGATCGGAGGCCTGGGGAGGCTGCCAGGGAGCAGGTTCCGGGCTGAGGCTGCAAGAGGGAGCCTTGCGTCCCCTCTCCCGAGCAGGGAAGGCGCGACCTGGCTGGGATCCCCCGAGCCAGAGTTGTGACTGCCAAGACCCACGGTGGGGGTTCTGAAACCGGGCCCCACGCCAAAAATAGGCACTTCAACAGAATAGACAAATCGGTGCAGGGTGGGGGCTGGGCGACGGAAGGGGCAAAATCCTGGAGGGAAGAGGGTCGGGGAGAGGCCCCAAAGCTAAAACCCGGCTAGGATCTCGGGAGGCCGGGCCTGGAAGCAGCTGCTGGCACCATTTTATGAAAGATGGGTACAACTCTAAGACTGACAACCGGGGAGGAGTGAAACCTGGGATTGGATCGTCAGGGAAGGGAGTCCGTCCAAATGAGGCCTAACTATTAAAGCAGGCAGCTCCTGCAAACTTCGGTCTGGCTGAATCTGAGCATCCCAGAAAGGAGAGTGGGGGTAGGGCAGGTAAATCCTGATCTGGATTTTAGAGGAAGGGGATTACTGTGGATAGAGGTGAGGTAAAAAGGCCCTCTGTGGCTCACTGGAGTCTCTGCAGAAAGTACGAGGAACAGGGAAAGGATTTTAAAGTAGATGCCAGGCCCAGTGGCACAAGCCTTGCTGTGATCTCAGTATTTGGGAGGTTGAGGCATGAGGATTCAAATTCAAGTGTTGCCTGGACAATTTAAGGAGAACCTGTCCCCCAAAATAAAAAGGGCCAGCCGGTTGTAGTGGAGCATGCCTATAATCCCAGCATTCGAGAAGCTGAGACAGGAGGACTGTTTGAGTTCAAGGCCAGCCTAGGCTAGATAGTGGGCTCAAGGCTAGCCTGAACTACATAATGACACTGTCTCAAAATTTTAACAAATCAATAAATAAAAAGGGCTGGGCATGTAACCCAACGAAAAGGCACTTGGTTTCAATCCTATGTGTGTGTGGGTGTGGGAGGGTGGTAAATCCCTAAAACTTGGGCAGATTTGAATCTGGTCTCCAAGAATCCCTTCGAAGAAGCACTCCCTGGTGGCTGAAGTAGGAGAGAGGCAGGGAACCCAGACTTTGAGCCTAGCTGAGTACCTCTCTGACAACCCTCTCTTTCCTTCTAAACACAACCTTTCCAGAACTGCACAGGGGTTCACATCTGGGCCACATCTGGCCCTAGCACCTCGGGGCACAGTGGACAGGTGTGTGTCATTGGAGTTGTGGCCTTGAATGTAAATGGCTAGGTCCGGGCAACTGGATCTGCAGACCCGTGGCGGTTGGTGGGTGCAAAAAATATCCCATCCCTTTGTGGTTGACTGCAGCTCTGTTGGGTGCCTCACTTTTCCACTTTGAGACATAAGATATCAGCAGACTCACAGAAGGCACTGAGGTGCTGAGCAGTGGGCACAGTGCTTCAGGGTGCAACCAGGACACGATTCCCCCACACACGCAGCAAGGCAGCCAGCTTTCTGTAAACCCCGGGGACGGGGGATGCTTTATGGCAGAGTGCTTGCTTTAGGGTGCAGCAGGCCCTGGGTTCTATCCCCAGCACCACAAAAGAAAGCAAAAGCAAAATTGCAAGGGGGCCAGGACCTGGAACCCAGGGAAAGCCAGAGTTCTCCATCTCCAAGACCCCTAAGCGGCTGCAGCTTGGGACCTGGGAGGTAGCGTGGGGCACATGATGGCCTCCTTTAAGAGACCCTCGGCCCCATTTGCAAATATCCCCGTAGGAAATTCCCTTCTAGATAGACCCACCTCTGGTTCCCCACACCTGTGGTTGAGTAGCGCCCCTGGTGGTGGCCGGAATCGGCTCGCCAGCTCCACCCGCGCCGCGTCCTGTAGATTCGCGGGCGCCGGAGGCAGAGAGTGCAGATTGGCTGGGGGCGTGAAAAGAGTCGGGAGGCCCCCAGACCCCAGGGCTGCGCAGTCGCAGTGGAGGCCGCGTCTGGCAGGGGTCTGGCACGGCAGCGTTTGTGAGCGCGCCTGCAGATTCACCTAGCTCTGCTCCTGTCGCGTGGTCCCCGACCCCAGGACTCCCAATCCAGCGTCCAACCTGGTGCCTCAGGAACCCCATGCTGAGTGTCCTGCAGGTCTTACACCTCATGCACCCCACGTTCTGTGCATCCGGTTCTTGGGGACCCTGTGCCAGAGTGTCCCGCATCTTTGGTGCCCCTCATTCTGTAAAACCTGCGCGTGGTCACCCCACCTTCTGTGCACCCAATGCCGGAGGACTCTTGTGTGTAAGCCCAGTTTCCCCTTCCCCCAAAGCCCTGATCCCCTTCCCCCAAAGCCCTGATAAGTTTCGGTTTCCTACGCTGATTTAGGTTTTGCCCTCCCCAAACCTTCCCTTACAAGAAGAGGAAACCTATCAGGCACCTCCCGTCCCATCTCCTGATCTACCCCTGACCAATCACCAGGCAACACACAACCCATCTCTTTCTTCTGGGCCCTCTATAACAAAAAAAGGCACCTAACATCCCTCAGCGCGGCTGTGCTTCTGTTTTGCCAAGAATAAAGGCCTTTCCATCAGCCGGTTGCTGAGTTCTTGACTTGTTGAGAGGTGCCAGTATCCTAACATTTGGTGTCAGTAGTGGGATCGGGAGCCCTCAGAACACACACCAGTTGGGTCCGAGCCCCGATTCCTTCCGCGCTCCAAGTATTGACCTCCCTTCCGGCTCACATCCACTCGCCCAGACGCTAGACCTCATCCAGATAGGTGAGTACCCCAGATGGGGACCGAATATCCCTAAGATCCCGGGTTGGGGTGCCCTACACCATCTGGTGACCTCAACCTTTCAGAGCCTTGAGCTACAGTGTTCCAGTTGCTACCGCAACTCTTGCCCAAAAACCCTGATGTCAGGTCTCAAGCCTCCAAGGGCCCACTTGTGGTCTGGCACTGTCTTGGTGAGGGGTGATGATCACCCCAACCTCTGCCCATCATACTGAGGCCCGTTCCAGAGATTGGCATGCCTTAGCCTCCGGACGGCCCTCTTCACCCTCCTCTAAGTCCTTGTCACCTTGCGGGTCACCATGGGCTCAGGACAATCCATACTGGTGGATTGCCCCTTGGGGTGCCTACTACATCATCTAGATGGCCTAGATTTAAAGCCTAAACATCTCATTCGGCTGTCTACTGAAATTTAGTCCCAATACAAACTAGATAATCAAAATTCATGGCTTCCTTTGACTCCTTTGATCCCTCATTCATTCAGGATCTGTATAACTTCTGCAAGCGACTGGGCAAATAGAGCGAAATCCCTCATGATCAGGGCTTCTCCTATCTCCACACTGAAACCAAACTTCCTGTCAACTCACTTGGACATTCTTACCATAAGGCTTCCGAAATAGTCCTCACCTTTTCAGGCAGATTTTAGCCCAAGATCTTCACCCCTTACCCTCTCAGTGTCTGCCTTATGTTGATGACCTTCTCCCGTGTAGCCCCTACCCTCACACACCACCAATCAGCAAGCAGAACTTACGCCCTTACTCGAGCCTTTACTTTGGCTTCAGGAAAACTCTATTTACACAGATTCTAAATACGCTTTCCACATCCTTCTCTCACATGCAGCCATTTGGAAAGAAAGAGGATTTTGCACCACTAAAGGAAGCCCCATTATCAACTCCAAACACATACTTCGCCTCCTTGAGGCATCCCACTTACCCACTGCTAACAGCATATCCCATGTTAACTCACACCAGAGCGATCACTCGACCGTCTCGGAAGGCAACAGCTGAGCCGACCAGGTGGCCTGCGTGGCGGCCCTACTCCCCCTCCAAGGCCCCACATTCTCGCCCTTATCCCCTCTCAGCACACCCCGCCTCCTGACGCGCCCTCTGCTCACCAGCTTCTCGCCTATCGCCACAAACTTTTCCACCCCAGCGCCCAAGCCTCGTATCGCTTCATCAAGTCTTTTCTTCCCTTATCCCCTTCTGACTCAGCTTTCCTCGATGACCTTCCCAAATCCTGCAATGCGTGTCAGCGAACCAATCCCAACGTGTGTCGACCGCCTTGCTTGCCTACCCATCAGGCCCGAGGTCTCCTCCCAGGGACTGATTGCCAATTAGATTATACTCATATGCCCAAGGTCAAAAGAGTCAAATACCTCCTGGTGCTTGCAGATACCTTTTCGGGGTGGTGTGAAGCCTTTCCAACCATCAATAAATGAGCATCCACTGTTGCCTTGTTTCTCTTCAAGGGGACCATTCCTCAATTTGGCACCCCCTGTTCTCCTCAATCTGATAACGGCCCCAAATTTACCTCCAATGTGTCTCAAAACCTTACCAAGGCCCTGGGAATTCCATGGCATTTCCACATCCCCTCTCACCCCTCAGTCATCAGGAAAAGGCGAAAGATCAAACCAATCGCTAAAAACAATACTGACTAAACTTACAATCGAACTCCCCCTCGATTGGATCACGCTCCTACCCCTGGCCCTCCTTTGCTTACACTCATTGCCAAAACGGCCCTCCGGTCTTTCCGCCTTTCAGCGGATGGACAGTTGCCCTATGGTACCTGCAGGCCTCTCTCCTAGAGCCACCACTCTGATTCCTGACACTTTCTCCTTGCTGCCTTTTATACACTCTTTACTATGGAATCACGCAGATACACTCGTGCCAGCCCCGCGGCCATCCCTGCCCACATTTATCACCCAGGTGATCAAGTACTAGTTGCCCCTACCCATAAGACAGAAGAACCTTTAAGCCCCGAATGGCTGGGACCATATAAAATAATTTTGTCTACTCCCACGGCCATTAAATTAAATACTCTCCAAGGGTGGTTTCATAGCTCACGCATAAAACCATTCATTCCTTAACTCACCTGTCGCTGCAGATCAAGTACAAAAGTCGGAAGGTCCCACATCCTTTAAGGCGCAAGAAACGGGGCCACTGAAGCTTCAGCTCACCCGAGTTCCAGAGAGTCCCGAAACTGGTTCTGAAACCGAGCTGTAAGATGCCACCCAAGACCCTCGTCCTCCTCTCCCTTTTCCTTCTCCCCCTCTTCTCTCCGACGCTACAGTCCCCTGGGTCCTCAACCACTTCCCAGCTCATCTGGTCCCTGTCACGAACAGGCACAGACCCCCTGACAATAGCAAGAGTTTCAGCCACCGCTGGGGCCCAGATCAAGTTCGAGGTCAGTCTCTGTCGATTCTTTGAACGCTCCAGTAATGTTCATACTCCTTCCTTAACTAGGTGGTGGGGTCCAAACTCAGGAGATAACTCCAAGCAGTGCTCTATAGAGGCAGCAAATGCCCTGGGAAGCCATCCAGTGCAGCCCTATCTATGTCCCAGTGGAAATCCAGACTCCTCTTGCCATGGCTCCAACCAGTTTCACTGCAGCAAGTGGGGCTGTGAGTCCATAGCAACTTGGAAATCGAGCTCAGACCCTTTTATTTCCTGGACACCAACAAACTACCCCAATATGTCCTGCAGTACTTTCTGCTACAAAACTACCATTTCTATCCTCAATTCTAGCGATCCCAGCTGGTTGCTGGGACACTCTTGGGGCCTGCGGCTCTATCTCACTTCCACGATTGACCCTGGAGTGGAATTTAACATCAAAGCTCAGACTTCCGTATGCCCCCCTGACTACCCCTCCACTGCCATCACATATTATACAGATTGTTAATAATCACCCCCTAATTCTTAACCAACATTTCAAACTACATCTCAACCTCTCTGCCTTAAATCTCAACAGCTCCAGCTCACCTGTGACTCTATCCTCAGGATGTATCCCTTAGTCAAACACCTCCCCCAGTCTAGCCGGGGATGCTGGATAGGACTAAACCTGCAAGGTCTTCCACACACCAAATTACAGGCTGTCTCTATGGTCTTCCCCACCAACAATTTCACATTCTCCAACGTAACAAGCAGCACCCCTAACGCCTCAACCCTTCTCAGTGATATCAGCCCACCTCCAATCTCCCGATGCTTTCACTTAAAATAACACCACACCACATTAACCCCTACACAATGTGATGAGATTTCCACATTCCCTTCCCATCTCCCTAACAGGTGCGACCCTTTGCTATTCCATTTGCGTTGGACCGCTCTATACTAGGCACAGCCTATTAATTTTGCTGCTGTATGCGCCCCCGTTTTCAGAATCCCTGACTTCAAGCTCATAGCAGGAGATGACCCCGTCCCTATACCTTCAGTATCTGTCATCCTGGGCCACCGAAAAAGATCTTTGCAAATTGCCATTCTTCCCCTCATCGCTGTACTTGGAGCAACAGTCGGTCTAGCCACCGGCACAGAGGGCATTGTCCACTCAGTGGCTAGCTTTAAATCACTAAGCCAACAACACAGGAAAGACATACACTGAACCGGTCAAATAATCCTGACCCTTCAACAACAGAGCAACTCCCTAGCCCGGGTAGTATTACAAAATCGCCGCGGGCTAGACCTCCTGCTGGCGGGAGAAGGAGGGCTCTGCCTAGCTCTCCAAAAGAGCTGCTTTTTCTGTTAACCAGTCAGGAATAGTCACCAACAAGATACATTCCCTGCAAGAAGATCTTGAAAATCGAAGGCGCCAGTTAAACCAGGCCCCGCAGGGTTTCTCATGGCTCAGTAATAACCCACCTTTGCTGGCTCTCCTCCCCTTGCTAACCCCCATAATTCTAATATTGGGCTTGGCAGCTGTCTCTCCTTGTCTGTTCCGCTTCCTACAGATACAAATATCTAAATTGTCTCATCAGACTGTTACCTAGCTTGTCTTACAGGCTCCTCCCAACCAAGTTCTTGAGCTCCAAGAAGAAACCACGGTTTTCCGCGAGTGGGCCCCTCGGACTGATTCCTAACCTGTCCTAGATACAGTTCCATGACCTGGATCAGGATTCATCTATGATTTCAGCATCTCATAACCCAGCTACAACAAGATCTTCACTGGCACTGCCCCCTGGAAGGGTCCAGATGGAATTATAGAGTGGATCACAGACAATTTCTATCAGGGAACCCGCCAAGATTTTAGCTCAGAAAAAGTTGCCTTCTATACCCTTCTCCTTATCTGCTGGCTTACGCTCCCACCCCCAAAACAACTACAAGTTGAGCCATTAGATTAAAATCTCCCAAGGGCCCCAAAACTCTCCCAACCCCTAATATGGGACACACAATTCTTTTCACATATCTCACAACGGTACCTGTCGCCTACTCAAAGAGACCTGATCTGCCGCTCGTACTCACCCAGAGATTGCCCTTTCTGTGCTGAGTATGTGAGCTCCTCCTAAGACTCATCATGGCAGAGACAAAACAACCTAGTCCTGCTCCCAGGATAATGCAGTTCCCACTGACAAAACTTCAAGGCCCCTAAAAAGTTACGTACATAACTCCCTGGCAGTGTTATTATTCTTTGATTTTTGTCAAGGAAAGTCCTTTTCATCATCCGTATATAAAACCTTTAAGGTACATTTTAATGAATTTCTTCCTCGCCGCTTTAGGCCTCCCTCCCGATGGCTGTGCTGCCCCCTGAGTTCCTATACACGCCCAGATCAACCCCCGTCACTCTGCGATCCTGCCATTATTGCATCCCCGGAAACCCCTAAACAAGCAGCCCTTCACAAGGATAAGAGATAACAGAACAAAGATCCCTCCCTTGGCCTCGCATCACCCCACACCTGCCCCTTTTCAGCAGGAAGTAGCTACAGAAGAGAGATTCATTGCCCCTCTTCCTGAGGCCATAACAAACAAAAAGGGGGAAATGTAAGCAGCCCAGTTTCCCCTTCCTCCAAAGCCCTGATAAGTTTCGGTTTCCTAAACTGACTTAGGTTTCGCCCTCCCCAAATCGTCCCTTACAAGAAAAGGAAACCTATGAGGCACCTCCTGTCCCATCTCTTTCTTCTGGGCCCTTTATAACATATGAAAGGGCACCTAACATCCCTCAGCGCTGCTGCACTTCCGCTTTGCCAAGAATAAAGGCCTTTCCATCGTCCGGTTGCTGAGTTCTTGACTTGTGGAGCGGCGCCAATACCCTAACGCTGTCGCCATATCACGCCTGCAACACCCACATTCTTGGGAACACCACGCATCTTGGGAGCCCCACATTCTGAGCCAGTAGCACTGGGTCACCGCTGGGCCACTGTCCTGCCCTGCCTCGGGGCTCTGGTTGCCACCCCCCATGTTTAGTGTCCCCTGCCAGGCTCCTGAGGGCCCCTGCACGATGGCCACATGTTGGAGGACAGCCTGGGTTGGGGGTCTTCAACCCTCCAGTTCACTGACCTTTCCTTTGCTTGTCCCCCGACAGAGCACCCTTACCGGCTGCTGGGTGCCAACGCCATGGGTGCCATAGAGAGTGTCCTAGAGCAGGCAGGTGGGCCTGGAACCTTCTCAAGGGCTCCCTTAGAGCTGGGCGTGGTGGTGCACGCCTGTAATCCAAGCACTTGGGAGGTTGATGCAGGAGGATCACCATGAGTTTGAGGTCAGCCTGGGCTACATAGTGAGTTCATGGCCAGCCTAAACTACCTAGGGAGACCCTGTCTGAAAAAACAAAAGAAAGGGCCAGGGATTTAGCTCAGTGGTTCGGTGGCCTGCCTTGCAAGCACAAGGACCCAAGTTCAATCCCCGGTACCAAAAAAAACAGGGCCAGGGATTTAGCTCAGTGGTGTTGCACCTGTCTTGCAAGCACAAGGTCCTGAGTTCAATCCCAGGTACCAAAAAAAAAAAATCAAGGATGCCCCTTTCTAGTGGGCGTGATAAACGGAATGGGAATGGGGGCAGGAATGGCCCGACCTGGGGAGCAGCAGCAAGCAGGTACTGGGTGGTGAATCTGTGCAGGCCTTGGGATGCCTGAGTGGGGCGGTTGTTTTGTGGTGCTGGGGATGCAGCCTGGGCCCAACACATGCTGGACAGGGCTCCATCACTGAGCGACACCCTCAGACCCTTCTGTTTTTTATTCTGAGACAAGCTAGCTAAGTTGCTCAGGCAGACTCGAAATTTCGATCCTCTGGGCTCAGCTTCCCAAGTACCCACTGTTCCTGGTAGAATGCCCTTGGTTGTCATCCTCAGCACCAAAAAAAAAAAAAAAAAAAAAAAGATAAAGAACTCCCAGAATTGGGCTGGGTGGATAGAATGAGAGTAGGGACTAATTCCAACTGCTGACTTTGTGCACACATGTTTGTGGACTTTAGTCAGTCAGTGGATATTATTGATCACCTACTGTGGCCCAGCACTGTGCTAGGTGCTGGGGATACCCTGGCAAAGATCACTAGGCAGTGGGGCCATGAGGACTGTGCTGGTGGAGGGACTGCGTGAACGGAGCACTGGGCGTAGGCGAGGATAAGGAGGGGATGGGCAGAGCATGCTGGCCTGGTGGGCTGTGAAGTGGCAGCCATGGAAGGTTCTTGATTAGAGCAGGGAGGACCTGGTTCAGGTGCTCGCAAGCACCCTCTGGCCACTGCAGGTGACACAGTAAGGAGGCCTGGAGCAGAAGCCAGGGACTGGGGCAGCAGCTGCGTAGGTGCAGGTGGGAGATGTGGCAGGGGGAGGGGATTCTAGGAGGATTTCAAAGATGAAGCAACACACTGGGAATGGAATCCTGGGAACAGATGAGTCAGAATTTATGGCCTGAGTGCCTGGGCAGACAGAAGAGATGCAGAGAGGGTACCTTGAGAGGTTAGAGCTAGGACTTTTTTTTTTTTTTGGAACAGGGAATTAAACCCCAGGAGCCTTTACACTGAGCTCTGTCCCCACCCCTCTTAAAAATTTTGACAGGGTCCTACTAAGTCACTAAATTGTCCAAGCTGGGCCCCAACTTGTGATCCTCCTGCCTCAGCTTCCCAGGTACTGGGATGACAGGCATGTGCCACCCCATCCAGCTCCTTCATACATGCTTAAAAGATTGTAGATGTTGGGTGTGGTGGTGCACACCTGTAGTTCCAGCACCTGGGAAACTGAGGCAGGAGGACTGCTATGAATTCAGAGTCAGCCTGGGCTGCATAGTGAGTTCAAGTTCAGCCTGAACTACACAGCAAGATCATGTCTCAAAAAAACAAAAACAAAAAACCAAAAAAAAGCACCACCAAGAATTACTACGTGATCCAGCAGGTCCACTCCTAGGAATAAGTTGTAAGACTTGGAAAAGGGGACTCACAAATGTTTGTACATGACTGTTCACACAACTGTATTCACAATTGCTGAGGAGGAAAGCAACTGATGTGCTCATCAGTGGGTACAGAGATAAACCGAGGGAACAGCACCTGCACCTTGGGACTTATTTATCTGTTTTTTTGAGCTAGGGTCTCACTATGTGATTCAGGCTGGCCTCGAACTCACAGCCACCTTTCTGCCTCAGTCTCCACTGGGATTACAGGCGTGCACCACCACTCCTGGCTCAGGATACTGAGCCGTGGAAGGGAAAGAACTGGGGTGGGAGAGGAGGCTTGGTGGTGAGCCATGGGCTAGCATGTGAAATAAAAAAGTCCTCATCAACACATGCTGCAATGCGAGCCTGCTCAGCAAAAGAAACCAAACCCAAAAGATCACACGGTGTCATTATCTATGACTTCACTCACACCAATGTCTGAAGCAGGTGAACCCATCGCAGAAAGCAGATGGGGGCTGTGAAGGGCTGGGGGCAGCAGAGAGAGGAACAGAGAGAGTGACTGCTCGTGAGTGAGGGTTTTTTTGGGGGGGCTGATTAAAATGTCTTGGAGCCAGGCGTGGTAGTGCGGCCCTTGAACTAATTATGCAGTGCAGGTTGGTCTCAAACTCACTGCGATCCTCCTGCCTTAGCCTCCATGCACTGCGATGACAGGCTTGCAGCCCCACCCTTGGTTCGTTTTTCTTTGTTAGTGGCTGCCTCAGGTGTTAACAGGGACACAAAGCTAACACAGTACCCTTAAACAGTCTCTGAGCGTATCTACTCGTCTTCCCTCTTCCCCTAGAATATTAGCTCCTTGAGGCCAGAGGTGCTTTCTTCTGGTTCGGGCTATATGCACAGAGCCCGAAAACTCGGCAGGCGCACAGTAGGTGTGCAGGGGACAACAGAGCACAGGAGAGGCTCCCAGGTCCGTCAGCCAGGAGAGGTGGCCTGTGCTTCCCAGCCCGGCCGCTAGAGGCCGCTGCTCTGCTGCGCTAGGTCACCAGGTGAGGAGGCCACGCCCCTTTCCAGGTACCTGGGGGCGTGGTCACCTTGCAAGGCAAGGCAATTGAGGCGCGGGGCTGCGGGACCGTGGGGTAGGAGGACTCCGGGGGGCGGGAAGGGACCAGCTGAGCGTGTGCAGAGTGGAGACACACGTGGGGAGGTTGGGGGGTCTGGGAAGGTGAGGCTGGGGTCGAGGTTGGCAGGAGACGGAAGTGTGGGGGCATTGAGGGGTGCGTGAGTGAGGAAGAATCCACCCGGGGCTTGGGCAAAGTCGGGGTGGGGCGGGGAGATAGGTGAGCAGTCAGGGACTGTGGCCTCGGGGATGGCTTCTCTGTGGGGTCCACCTGCCACCAGGAAGCCACCTCGAAGCTAGCTCCCTGTCCCCTTCCTCCTCGAACATCCTTGTGGTCAGATGTGGCCAGGGTTCACGATGGAGCCAGACGGGGGCGGGGACGACGGGGATGGGGAAGCCCAACAGCTGGAGACCCTGCTGGCCCTGGGGGACAGGACAGTGAATAGGGAGGCCTGGGATGTGGCAGGAAACCCCATGAGGCACAGGGGGCAGTGGCACAGGGAGTGGAGTGGCAGGGTCCCGGCTAGGCAGAACGGGGCCTGCTGGCTAAGGGCAGAGGCGGTGTCGGCACCGGCTCACAATCTGGACAGACGTGCAAGAGGTTGGGATGGGACCTGAGGGTGTGGTCAGCCCTGGAGCCGCAGAGCTGTACTAACAGTGGGAAGCCCCTGTCCACGGTGGGCGTAGATGGCGGGAAGAGCCCTACTGAGGCTCATTTTGCTGGAAAGGATTCTATGAGGGAGGCTGGGCATTTGGGTGATTGAGAGTTTCCGTTGCTGTGACTAATGCCCGAGACAGAGAAACCTATAAAGAGGAAAGATTTATTTTGACTCATGGTCTTGGGATTCCTAGTATGGGTTTTGGCCCTATTGCTTTGGGGCCTGTGGTTAGGCACTGGGCATCCTGGTGGGAATCAGAGAGAGAGGGAGAGAGAGTCACAGTTCCCTTCAAAGGCATCCCCAATGAGTAAACCTCCCAGCCCCCCAGCAGGGGCAAGCCGGGTCCTAGCCTGTCACACCCAGGCCTTTGGATGATGTGCTACATCCAAATGCAGCACTGCGCAAAGGTTTCCGCAGTTTTGCCGGGCTTGGTGGTGCACACCTGTCATACCGCACTCAGGAGGCTGAGACAGGAGGTTTGCTGTGAGTTTGAGGTCAGCCTGGGCAGCATCATGAGACTCTGTCTCAAAAAACCAAAAAGATGAAATAAAATAAAAATCCACAGACCTTGTCTCTGGAGATGTCTGTTACCCCTGCAGCATGGGGTGTCACAGAATGACCCTTGAAAACCTGGCATTGAGTGAGATGAGCCAGACACCAAGGTCACCTATGTGCAGAACTCCCGTCCTATGAAATGTCCGGAACAGGAAAACCCAGAGACCGGAAGTGGAGCCAAGGTTGTGGGAGTGGGGAAAGGGAGGAAGGGAGTGACTGCTCCTGCGTGGATGCGAGTATTCCGGAATTGGCAAGCTGATTGCACAACTCTCTTCCTCTCCATCCTTCTTCCCACTGGAATCCATCCCCAGCCCCTTTTATGTTTCATTTCGAGACAGTACAAAGTCAGTAAGCTGCTCATGCTGGGGTTGAACTTTCAATCCTCCTGCCTCAGCCACCCAGAGCGCTGGGATAAGAGGCATACACAACTGTGCCTGACTTATATTTATTATAAATACCTTTATTTGGCCTGAAATAACTATATTATTTGGCCTCAAACTTGCAATTCTCCTGCCTCAGCTTCTTGAGTAGCTGGAATTTTAGGTGTGTGCCATGCACTGCCA